AATATAGGCTGTAGTCTCGTAAACATTCTAAAATTCGCGGGATTTCGTAATAATTTTGATTTGCCGACTTCAAAACATTTATAACTATTGAGTATTGGCAGACTTTTGAAATTTGAGGATCGATCAAGACTCGGTTGGCGTAAAGTTTGTTATATTTTATAATTTTGTTTGTTTTCTATATATCTGGTTGTATTTGCAATGTCGGATATTCCGCCTTTGCGCCCTATGCAGACTTGTTTGCAATGGAAATTATGTGTTGAAAGCCATTCATTAGCTTATCTCTTCTTATTTCAATTTATAAATCTGCCGTGCTCAGATTATTTAGTTCTCGGTAAAACTCACTGAGCTATATTAGTAAAAATAAACAGCCATTTTGCCAAAACTAAACCACTGATCTGTATAGTGCATTGAATTATCACGAACACATGAGCCCGCGCGCCCGACCGCTTGATGTCCTCCATTTCTGGCCATGCATTACGCCTCTGTAATCCGGTACGTGCCGCGAAAATCACTTCGCTTTGGAGGTGATATGAAAAGTATAATGCACTACGTGCTATACCGGATAAAACCAAGTGTAAACAGGAAATCTGGAACGCTCCGTTGCGAGATTAGTTTTGGCGCGAAATTTTGAGTTGTGCTTATACAACTTGAATTGCAAAATGAATCCCTTAGAAAACGTTTTTATGCTCACTATTATAGCGGCAAGCGTGTTGTAAATAATGTCTTGTTTGTTTGGCATCACAACTGACTTCTATTCTTCACGAAGACGTAAAATAATAATAACGTGAAATTATCGGGTTCAAAACTGTGTCAAAAAACAAAAAACAGTCAATCGATTTGGGGTCAGACCAGGCCGAAGCACTGTCTGGTGGTCTTGCTTGCAAAATGAAATTACTGCTGGGAAAATAACACACCTAAGGGTTGAGAAACAGATTGCAGTAACTTTGTATTATTTTTCGGAAGGTGGAAGAATGAGGGAAACTGCAAAAGCGTTTGGTACGGCACATTGTACGGTTTCAATAATCGTGAAACGAGTAACTCGGGCTATATCAATAAACCTAGCTTGTACTGTGGTACATAGGATCTATGTGAAAGTGCCTTTAACAGAAAAGAAGTCAAGGCATCTGCAGCAAACTTTTTTGCTCGTTATGGTTTCCCCCAATGTATAGGTGTAGTCGATGGGACACATATTCCAATAAGAAAACCGAAAGAAAACCCATCATATGTAAACAGAAAAAGATACCATATGTGGATTATACCGGGTGGCGCAAAAAAAGTTAACCTGTTTGATTTATTTTAACTTAAAAACTAAAAGAGCTATTACACCTAAACTACGTGCATTGCATTCAGTATTGTCTAACTTAAATTTTGATATACGCCCTGTGCAATTTCGTGCAATAATGACCGAGAGAGCTGCGTTTAAACTTTAAATTAGCTAAAAACGGCCTGTTAAACTAATTTGATAACCGTTACCATTTTATCGTAAATATTCGTTTCAATGAAGTGAAGTTTAAATTAACAATGTTTATTGGATGGATGTGCTCTTTTATTTTTGTTTAATTTTATTAATTAAGGTCTTCGGGAATGCACGAAAATTAAATTATGAAGCGATTTTGATTGAAAGATTTATTCTAAATATTCAATGACGCTGGGGAATCAAATTCTAATGTTCCAAGTGAAGAAACGTCAAGTGTTTTTTTATAAATACGCCTCGTTTAACGGATGACCAAAGAGTTTCGATATGCTTAGAATATGCAATTGCAAATAATGCTCGTGAGGTTATACCGGCGCCGCGGCGTTGGGCAGGTCTCTGACAACGAACGTGTACTTTCTGATTATAGTGCGTCTAAGCACAGATTATTGCTTGTATTAAATATTTGATAGGCCGTTTTTGGCTAATTCTTGACACTTTCAAAAATGGTTACTCAAGTTTAAACGCAGCTCTCTCCGTCAATATTGCACGAAAACACACAGGGCGTATATCAAAATTTAAGTTAGACAATACTGAATGCAGTGCACGTAGTTCACGTGTAATAGCTCTTTTAGCTTTTACGTTAAAACAAATCAAACAGGTTAACTTTTTTTTGCGCCACCCGGTAGATACTGTGTTTTTGATGTAGTAATAAACTGGCCTGGTAGTGTGCACGATGCACGCATGTTTGGTAACTCAATAAATAATACAAAGTTAAGGGACGAGTTTATACCACCATGTAAGAAATCTAACGTTGATGTACCAATATGCATTCTTGGTGATCCTGCCTATACCCGCTACTGCCATATTTAATGAAAGAGTAATTCGCTAAAGGTGATGGCACCCCTCAAGAACAATTTTTGGGTACCGCCTATCATCCTCAAGAATGGTTGTTGAATGTGCTTTTGGTAGGCTGAAAACATGGTTTGGCATTCAGCGACGGCCAATGGATATAATGATCTAAGCTTAGACAATATCATAACAACAATCCATGCTTGTTTTATTTTAAATATTTTTTTGTGAATGAAACAATTAGTGATAAACTTATAAGGGCAGCTAGGTCAGATGTATGACCATGAGTTTCCACCTCTAGTCTATGCCATGTCATAACAATGAGAGAGGTGGAAAAGCAATTAGGAATGTTATAGTATTCAATCATCTCTGTTAAGTACTTTGGTGCAAGTTCATTTAAGGCTTTAAAGGTCAGCAGGAGTAATTTAAATTTAACTCGATATTCAACTGGTAACCAATGCAAGTTAATTAACACCGGCGTGATATGGTCGTATTTCCAGGACTGGATTATAAGTCGCGCGGCAGCATTCTGCACATGTTGCAGCTTTTGTAGTTGGAACTTGGGAACCCCACAGAGTAAGGAGTTACAATAGTCCAATTTGGAACTGATTAAAGCATGTGCAAGGATTTCGGTAGATTTTGGAGTTAGGAATTTCCTTATTCTTGCAATATTCCGCAAGTGATAGAAGGCTCATGTTTTTATCAAAGATCACGCCAATATTCCTTGCCATATCTGAAGAAGTAATAATATCATATCCACAGTTTAGAAAAAACACTGGTGATGGGAGATAGCGAGAATGAATAACCACGAGTTCAGTCTTATCTCCATTTAGTTTGAGATTGTTTAGCAGCATCCATGTCTTCATATCAGCAAGGCAGTCCTCAATACGTTTGGCCGTAGAACTTTAGTCGTGTTCATCATTGCATGCAAATGTAGTATATAACTGGGTGTCATCTGCATAGAAATGTAATAGCATGTTATGACGCCGTAGAATATCAGCCAATGGTGATGTATAGAGTAAATACAAAATTGGGCCAAGCACAGAACCCTGAGGAACACCACAGGTCACGTTGTGAGCTTCGGACTTAAAACCCTATTTGTACCGGGGGTGCGCACAATGAGCGCACCCCTATAAATATTTATCCGTCATTCCTGAACAAATGATCCCATTTGCCTGTGCTTTCATGACTTTTAATATTTTTCCTCTGCCGTCATGACTGCGAAAAAATTTTTCTGAAAATTCAAAGTTATCCGGACGTTTGGCGACATTTGTCAAAGAAGGTGTCGGGGCCAAAAATTGGTAAATGTGGGTTGGACAGTATTTTTTGGCTGAATCACTTCCCAGGACATAAGTAACATAATATAATTAGAGAACATATAAAGATGGATTATTACTCATGATTTGCAAAGTAAAATATCCATAACATATTATATAAAATAGTAAAATATAGTATAACATATAATATAGCATACTATACAATACTTATATAATATAAAATACTTATTTATAATATTTTTATATATTCAAATACACATATTTCTTTGTACCTTCAAGGCATAACATCTCCCTGTCTTTCAGCTAGAATCAAACTTGTTGGATGCATTATATATTGAACACTTTCGTACCAGAAATTCAGTTCCAAATGAGAGTAAAACTTTTGCATAAAATCATAGGTAGCCTAGACACACTGTGCGATTTAAATTTAATTTTTACCCCCTGCGGTATCGACCTCGAAATAATAATGTTGACGATTGGCTCAAAAATATTCTGAATTTTTACACTAAAATGTATCATTAATCAATACTTATCGTTGAAGGAAATATACTTAGGTACATAGCATGCATCAGCACAAATAAGTAGTTTATACCTTTAGTAGAAGCACTTGAAATCCAGCTTTAAAATCAACTGACATTCACGGCGACGCGGCGGAGGAGGAAAAAGGAGACAAGGTTGATAACATCCATTGGCCAAGCTGCACGTATCATCATAAACAAACCCGTCTAACTCAACAATACGGAAAGCTTAGCCGAAAATTCTACAACAGCTGATAAAACAGCTATTTTGCTTTCCAACAATGTAGTCCTTCCAAAATTTGAAAGTTTCCCTTTGCAGAAATTTCACTTCAAACCACGGCTTCCACACAAAATTTACGATGTGACTAGGCGCAAGGTAAACAGGGTTCACGCACGATAAGTTTTAAATTTAAATCTCGCGCCTAATTGGATAATCAAGTGACGTCTAGCAAAGTCAATTACGCTTATCCAATTAGGCGCGAGATTTAAATTTAAAATTTACCGTTCGTTAATATTGTTTACCTTGCGCCTAGTCACATCGTAAATTTAGTGTGGAGGCCGTGGTTTGAAGTGAAATTTCTGCAAAGGGAAACTTTTAAATTTTGAAAGGACTACATTGTTGGAAAGCAAAATAGCTGTTTTATCAGCTGTTGTAGAATTTTCGGCTAAGCTTTCCGTATTGTTGAGTTAGACGGGTTTGTTTACGATGATACGTGCAGCTTGGCCAAAGGATGTTGCCAACCTTGTTTCCTTTCCCCTCCTCCGCCGCGTCGCCGTGAATGTCAGTTGATTTTAAAGCTGGATTTCAAGTGCTTCTACTAAAGGTATGAACGATTTATTTTTGCTGATCTATGCTATGTACCTAAGTATATTTCCATCAACAATAAGTATTGATTAGTGATACATTTTAGTGTAAAAATTCAGAATACTTATAAGCTAATCGTTAACATTATTATTTTGAAATCGATACCGCAGGGGGTAATTAAGTATGCCAAGCATTTAAATTTAAATCGCACAGTGTGTTTGGGCTACCTATGATAAAATCCAGAATGATTGCCATGATTTTCAAAGTAAATATTGTGAACGGTCAATATTTACTGGGGCCAAAAAACAGCATTTTGGATGTGAATTTAACTTTTTTGTTATTTTTAGGTTAAAGAAAGATAAAACTTACTAAAAATAAAACTTATAGGATAATGGCAGTTAATCGACAGAATTTGTGAGGGGTGCGCCCTATCAGCGCACCCCCGGTCATATCAACATGAAAAACCCCCGGTACAAATAGGGTTAAAACCATCAACATTCACGAACTGAGAGCGATTAGTCAAGTACGATCGAAGCCAATCCAAGGCTTTTCCTTTTCCTTTTTTTCCTTTTCCAAATCTAGTTCTTAAACGGTGAATCAAAATTTCATGGTCTACTGTGTCAAATGCAGAAGAGAGATCGAAGAGTAGAAGTAAAACACAGTTGTGACTATCCAAAGCACGTAGGATATCGTTCTGTACTCTAATCAGAGCAGTTTCACAACTATGGTATCGTTTATATGCAGATTGCAATGGTTCATGTAGGTTATTTTCATCAAGGTAACTGATTAAACAAGAGGCTACAGTTTTTTCAATTACCTTAGAAACCATCTTAAGATTCGATATCGGTCTAAAATTAACAAATTCCTGATAATCCAATGAATGTTTCTTTAAGGTCGGAGTTAACACGGCCTTTTTCAAAGTAGATGGCCTGATTGACCTGATTCCAATGATAAATTGACAATTTTACAAATAACTGGTAGAAGATAATTTATTTGAGGAATAAGTAATTTAGCTGGTAATGGGTCAAGGATACAAGATTTGGATGCGATGGGATATATTAAATTCATCCACAGTGGTTGGTTGGAAGGTTAACAGTTCAGACTCGGGGGGCAAATTCATCATTGGCTAATTCTTCCCTAATTTGACAATTTTGTTGGTGAAAAATTGTTAAATTGGGTTGACAGTTCGTTGAGGTACTCACATGACGGATAGAATTTCTCAGGAAGCCTATGGAGGAGACGATCAATAGTGTGAAACAGTTTCTTATATTGTCTGATCCCGCTTCCTCAATCAAGGAAGAAGAATAATTCGCTTTTGCACTATTAACTAATTCTTTGACCAATAGACACTGATTAATGTAAACCTGTAGATCAACTTGGAGACCAGAACGACGCCAGCATCGTTCGAACTTGCGTCTCTTGGATTTTTGCATTGCAATATCCTCATCGTACCAACGAGCTGTTGGTCGTTGGATGACAGTTTTAGTCAATAGTGGTGCATGATCATCGAGGATTGAAGATAGAACCTTGTCATATTGGTCACAAAGTTCCGAAAGAACAGGCTGAGGCGATAGGCATAGTGACGAGTTCATTATGTCATTGCGCAGCTTTTCTGTGTTAATTGATCGAATTTTCCTGCATGTTACAATTTTCTTAATTTTAGTAGGTTTAGCCAAATTCAAGTTACAATGTTAAACAAAGTGATCTGAAATGACAGGATCATTGACAGATAAATTACAGACAGTCTCTTCATCTGATCTGGTGATAATCAGATCCAAAGTGTTACTATTTTTATGTTTTGGCGTGCTAATGTGCTGTATAAGATTGAACGAGTCAAGTAAGTCCAGAAACTTAAGAGCAGTTGCATCAGACGTATCGTTAACATGGATATTAAAGTCCCCGGTTATGAGCAATTTACCAGACGAAGATACCAGTAACTCCAGGAGAGATGAAAATTCATCAAAGAATATGTTAACTGTAAAACCATTAGTTGATGATGGGGGAGGGCGGTAGATTGCCACAATACGTGTAGTCACGGAGTTCTTACGAAGCAGTAATTGCATCAGCTCAAATGATTTAAATGATTTTGCGGTCTTAAGTTCTTTAATTTTTAAGGAGTGCTTAAATATAATGCCAACTCCCCCACCAGAGCCAAATTCCCTTGGAACATGGGAAAATACATAACCTGAAGGACAAATATCACGCGTTGCAAATTCACAATTCTCATGACCTTTAATCCAAGTTTCTGTGAGAGCCATAATATCTATATCATTATCCACAATGTAATCTTTGATTTGTAGTGTTTTGTTCTTTATTGATCTAGCATTTAGGACAGCAAGTTGAAGCAATTTTAAACCAGGCTTCTTTGTGAATTGAATTGGTGTTTGCTGAACTGGAATTAAATTATTCAAATTGCGACTCTTGTTCACTGACATGTATCTTGCATGATAATGACTATAATGGCGCTTCGCTGTATAAAATCTATTTGAGACGATAGCTTTAATATTATAACAGCCATTTTCACCCGATCGAAAGTTGTCAATGCCAACACTATATGTAGGGCTTGATATAGAACCAGTTATGGTTTTACTTAACTGATTGTTCCAACATCCCATTGCTGACGACTGCTCTCCAGTATGAAAATTCCGATTAGTTAGTGTTCTTGACTGCTGAGAAAGATTTTCCATTCCCCTTGTTGGTCCTGGATTTAAAGCAATATCCTAATAAATGGTAATATCCAACGGTGGATCATGTCCGGGTATATGCAATGATATTAAGCCATGTTTACAGTATTTATTCACCACTAGCCGTGATTTAAAATATCCATTCGAGTACAGTATAAACTCAACATCATATAGTCAAAGCCAAAATATAAACATGTACAACTGTTTTGTCATAATTCAATAATAAATTATAGTTGGCTATTGTAATCATCTTTATCTAAACTACTAGCAAATGACTTAATATGGTTCGATGTGTTAAAGCAATTGGATGGAAAGTATTGACGAAAACCATACATGTCTGGATAAACAGACATTGGAGGGTGGGAAAAATTACCATGTATAGCAGGTTTCACACATTTTCTTCATCAAGTCAAAGCAACAGCTAGGTGATTCAGTTTTCATTACTGAGATATTTAGCAGTCGTTTCCCTTCTGTTTCATTGGATTTTATACTTTGGATATTCCTTGTGTGTCCTCTTCTTCCACTGATATGCCAAACAGCGCTTCCATATCATCATCGCGGTTGTTGTACAAAGGTAACAGTGATTTGTCTCTTTCACAGGATTTATTATTCTTGCACTCTATCACTGACGAGTAAAATTGTCTGGTGTTTAATAGACAGAGTAAATACTGAAGTAGGGCGCATTTAAGTGCATTGCCAGCTAGTTGGTTAATTAATCAACTATACCTTATTCAATAATACACATATTCCTAAAAGTTGGCTGGGTGACTGCTTGTTCATAGTACTATGGAATTAAGCAAGGTTGTATATTAAAATTACACTGGCTAATAAAACTCTTGCTTTCCATATAGCACTGTGAACAGGTTGTCACCTGGCCAACTTATATTAAATATTTATAAACCCACCTTTGTATACACTCTTATCATTAAATCCCGAATTTACAAGTAATATGTGTAAATGATATATTTGCAATGTACCTTATTTATTATAGCATTAATCATAAATATCATTGAATAGTCTGCGATTGAGTAGTATGCGATAAAAAGCCGCAACAATGTAGTAAATTTACTGAGCTGGTTTTCTGTACGTACTTTCGATACTTTTTGTCGAAGGGGCCTCTGCCCATATGTCGTGGCATAAATCGTAATATGTCATCACAACTCTTCCGCCATTGCTCCGTTTCCCGCTCTCGATTGCTTTCTTTTAAGGGGGTTTTCCACTAGGCGAAATTTTTCGACCGAATCGAAATTTTCTTTTGTCTTACAAGCACTCAGATGGAACAAAACACAAATCTTTTGAATTTGAACAATAGAAATTTCGGTTCGATCGAAAAATTTCACTTCGTGGGAAACCGCCTTAAGGCCTGTTTTATACGTCGAATTTCGGTTGCGTCGAATGCAATTCAAACAATAGATAATGAAGCTCAATGAGGTTTATCATCTCATTATCCATTGTCTTAATTGCATTCGACGCGACCAAAATTCGACGTATAAAACAGGCCTTAAAATTACGCCGAATTTTTTTCAGCTTTGCCGCAATTCGTTCATTTGTAATATATATTCTCGAGGGATTAAACCTGGGATAGTCTGAATTTGGTTCCTCTTCGATTTCGTCATCTTTAATTTTTGGGTAGCGTTCAACAAAATTTCTCTAATTTTTTCGTATTTTGACTTCACGCCTTCCCAGTCTGTGCCGTCAAAAAGACAGTTAGAAGCAAATACTTTAATTGATTCAAGCAGCAGTTCCATTTCGGCGTCAGTCCACAAGAAGGACTCTGCTTTTTTTCTTTAACACGGTGACGGCAAACATCTTCAGTAAAACATTAATTGTCACACATTGTTCTTTCCCCTATTCTGGCGGGAAATTGCTATTGTTTCCAAGACAACGGCGGAGCTTTATGGGTCGCAACAAGTCGCAACGGCAATAGGCAATTCCAACTTTTAGTTTATGCGTGCAGGGGATGATGTGAAGTAAGGTATCATATTGCTGATTATGCTGAAAAATTTCAATAAAAACTGCCGAAACAACCCAAATTTTTCAATATAAATATTTCAACAAGTATAAGCTATCACTCAGTATTTACACAGCCACCATATTTATTTTTTCAGCATAATCAGCAATATGATACCTTACTTCCCATCATTCCCTGCACGCATAAACTAAAAGCTGGAATTGCCTATAGTGTAAACACCCTTGATTTTGGCTTTGGTGTGAAAATTAAACCGGTATGAAAATCAATTCGGTTTAATCCCAGCCGAAGGCTCTGGGATAATCCAAGTGTAATCCCAGCCGAAGGCTCTGGGATAATCCAAGTGTAATCCCAGCCGAAGGCTCTGAGATAATCCAAAGAAGAAATGAATATGATTGGTTGCTGGCACACAATGGAATGTTGCAATGTAGCAAAAATTAATTTTTAAACGTACGTAGTTTTTGCAAACACATTGCGGTCGTTTAGGAGTGTACGCGAATATTGTTTTTGTTTTTCACAGCAGTGCTATATATAAATACTACAAAGGAAACGTATAGTTAATGCGGATAATATCACAACGGTTAAATGTAGCATGAATACTTTAATTTACTCATAATTATTTATGTTGTCACGGCAGGTTTTCTGTAGTTTTATATACAGTATACAGCAACCTGTTTCACAGGGTCTCACCTCCGCCACGCCCCCCAAACACCGGCTCCGGCGAGACCCTGTTCGGATATGGTCACGTGACATCCCAGATTTTGGGATATAGCGTAATTTGTCGTTAGGGTGGGTACGTGGGACAGAGTTATTAACTACAGTCATTTGTAAAAATAATAGAACTTGTCAATTTAGTTAATGATCGCATTTGGCATTTTTCGAAGTTCTATATTTGAAAGAAAACCAATTACACTACGAAAAAACGTTATATATGATATGGTTCGCGGCATTTAGACCAGTGATTTAGACTCTTGTTGTCGTCTGTTCTTGCTAAATATATGTGATCACTGATCGCAGTGATATTATTAATACATTGTTATTTTTAAAAACCGTCCTTCGTAAATATTAATATAGCACAGATCAGATTTATTTGTCAGAATAAAATGGATACATTGTAGTGTATTTTCTAAAAAGGCTTATCAACTATGAACTCTCACCTTTAGTGCTATAACGGTACGTGTTTATATATATTTTAACTTCCACGTAGTTTTGTGTAAATATATGTTCGCGTATTATATCATTTTGGTATACGCGTCTCAATTCATACAGATGTTTGACAAATTTGCATTGATTCTATCATTGCCTTTGCCCATTGCCATTGGTATAGTATATAGGTTTTAAGTCAATCACGATTCAAAACATTTACATGTTCGTTTTGTTGTATGTGCTGGCTCTATAATGTCTTCATATTACATGCTTAAATTATAACTCTGTATGACTGCACATGTCTTGTGACCTTATACCAAAGCATTGACAAAGTTATTTTAGTACAATTAACATAGTTGCACATATATAGCGCAAGAGAAGTCGTACTTAGTCTTTGTTGAATTATTGTAAAAGATAAAACCGATATCGGTTTTAACTAAAAGGAGCAATAATAGACAATTCGCGACAGAAAGCAAACCAGTGCCTTTTTTAAGGAATTTTCACGGGGGGGGGGGCAAAACAGGAAAAAAAGGCAGAACGAAAAATATGAGCCGTCGAGGTTTGGCGAACGCGCGAGTCTGAAGAGAGATTTTGTAAAACTTTAATTTATTAACTTCAGCTATATTTTACTTTAAACAATAACTTCAACTCTTTGTAGCTATAATCGTACAGCTATAACCAGTGGCGTAGCCAAAGCTTAATTTTGCGGGGGGGGGGGGACGAACCTCACACAGAAGGCGTGAGACCGTGAGGGTCCGGGGTCCGGAAAATTTTGAAATCTAGGGCCCCTGAATTGCGATTTCATGCATTTTGGGGGTGAAATCTAGCAGAATTCCGAAGATTGTAAAGTAAATTTTAGGTTCTATGAGACACCATTTCCGCATTCTCAAAATTGCGTTGCTTTTTCATACGATACAGAATAAGTCTGAGAAGAAATATTCATGCTATAATGATGGATACATGTATTTAACAGTTAAAAATCTAAACTAAATCTATTCTTCCTAGAACCATATCTACAACTGCTTTAACGAAATTTCACAAATCAAGTTCCTCCAGTATATCGTTTTTTCCTCAGTCGAGACGTACGTAATCAATTTCAGCTTCGAGCATGTAACGT